TATTAATATTGGTCTGGTTGTCATAAGTGGTCTAATGCACAACAGAAGTCATGTTTGTCAGGTGTGATTTACAGAATGCGTGCAGAAGATGGCAGTTACAGAAAGTGTGTGTTCAGATGTGTGAAGCTTTCTGCTGAAAAGGAGGAGGGGTAGAAAAGAAATGTGGTGGTGTTCTTTATTCCAGTTTCTCCATTCTGCTCTGCTAGTGTGAAAGTTGGACAATAAATCATTTGAGGAGTTTACCTTTTCCTAACGCTCTAACAGTAGAAGTTATAATGGGGGAAAAAAATAAACCAAAAAAAACCAAAAAAACAAAAACACTTGAGGGACCCAGAGAATGCTGTGCTGTTTTGTTTGTTTGTTTTACTGAATATGGCAGCATTAGATTATTTTTTTTTTTCTCAGGATTAGAGCCTCCAGATTACTGGGAGGAGGCTGATAGTCCTTTTTTGAAATCAGTGGAAGTGGGTATCTTAAGTATCCATTTCTCAACCAAATTTCTAGTAGGAAGAAAGTTGTACTATTGCCAGACGTAGCAAGCAGACTCGCCTGCTATTATGAAGGACGTAATTCACAACTGGATAATGTGCAGCAGTAACTATGGCTTTTGAGCTTGAATAAATTGTGTTTTTTACAAAATAAAAGAATTGAGATAATAAAATAAAAGCATGTTCTGTCATTCTTTCAATTTATGTATCTATTTTTACCATGTTGAGAATTCAGGAAATAGTTAAACTTTTTTAAGTAATGTGGTTAACTTCCAAACCAGATAAAGCAATATTGATTTTTGGTGAAATGATAGGAGTAGTCTGCTGCATCTGCTTTTAAAAATTGCTTCCAACTTGAAAGACAGAATTTTCTCATGACATCAGTAGGGGCGTTATTGAAAATACATTTCAGTTGAAGTTGCATTTTATTTAGGATCAATGAGATCCCCCCTCTCCCCCCCGCCCCCTTTCTTTTTAGTGCCTAATTGTGCTTACAGCATAAGCTTTGCAATTTGCTTTTTGAGGAACAGATGTGTTGTCTGTTCAGGTATGTGTATGATATTCACTCTTTTTAGAGTCTTAAGTGATGTTAAGAGCATACCTGAATTAAAATCTTGTTTCTTTAAAGTATTTGGACATAAAAAGTATCTTCTTCCATGCTAAAAAAGAATCAATAAAATACAAGGCCTTAAATTATTCAAAGATGATACAATGGGAAATTGGTTATTCTCTTGATTCGCAAGGCTGGATAATTGAGTTAAATTTTTATGTCTACGAAAATCAATGCCTAGGTGGACTTTGGAGAAATGCCTATAAAAAGACTGGCATTTGCATTAACTGGCAGTACTGAATTTTTACATAAAATTTTAGACTGAGTCACAGATGGCGTTTTCCAGTGATTCATTTTTGTTGTATCTTGCATCAACCTATATGTTATGGCACAACGGGCTTTAATTATGACGTAGATTTTTTGAAATATGCCAGATGCATACTTCTTTTGGAAGTGATGAGAGCAGCAGTGAAATCCTGAAAAGAAACCTAGAATCTCTTTTATTCTTCAAATATTTCTTAGACCTCCTCTTGTTTAAATGCAGGATATGTTAAATATTTAATAAAGGCAGTGAGCTAGGGTTTTGTTTTCCTTGGTGACTTGTTTGGTATTTTATTAACAAAGGATTTCTTGTGGCAGACAGTTTTTCGTGTTTTAAACCTTGAGCTTGCTGAGACATGGGAACACTTGGCCTTTCCACAACAAAAGATGTTGTTGTTTTTTTTTAAGAGTGGAGGGATTTGGTGTTTTTATGATGGTATGGAAGATTTTAATTTTTAACATTATAAACACTTGTGTTAACAGGGGAAGAATGGGGTATGTGTAACTTTTTGAGGACTTTGTGTTATCTCTTACATCCTTGCAGACATGGCTATTTCCTCTGGGCTGTTGTTTGTCGTCTTGGGAAATTTTAATCCTTTGATTTCACGCTGTTCTCAGTCTCTTGATCTTCTTTATGTTGAATTAATTGCTAGACAATATGAAATCTGGTGTCCTTAAAGTATTAGAGTAAGAAATGTTTTTGCACACATCTTTCTAATGAGGGAAATAAAAATAAAAAGCCTTTTCCATCATGCCCAAACTAGGTGTCTTGGAAGGTCATTGTGAGTGGTTCACTGAGTATTGATACCCAAATGTCAATTAATATTGGATCAAGCTAAATGGGCTAAAAGGAGATGGATGCACTTGTTCTGATGCACTTGTTTTCAGTGATGTATGTTCTTCAATATGTGTTTATATATATGTGTGTGTGTGTGTGTATACACACACATTGTATGTATGGCTTGCAGTGTCTTCATATTTGAAAAATTTTATATTGGTTACGTGGTGATAAAAATTATAGAATAACATCAACTTCTTCCTCCTTGCTCAGGCAAATGATACCTAGAAGACAGCAGGAGCAGCTCTGCTCACTCTTTAGAAAGTGTTTTGCAAAGTGTTTCTTTCTCAGGCATTCCCAGGTGAATGAAAGCCCTTTCAGAAAATTCCCATCTAACATTTTAGCAGTCCTGACTTTGCCACCTGGTACAGCAAGTAGGCACAAGCTAAGCATTTAAATGGAAACCTTTGAGACTACGTGAAGCTTTAAGCTATAAGCATTCCCTGAGCTCGAGGGACATTATTTGATTTTTTTAAGAGAGTGAGAAGTGACTTGAGGTTACTGTCTCAGTCAGAACATTTTGACCACCAGCACAGCCCTGAGAGCAGTGAAGGGAATGGTTCGTGCCCGGTGGTTGGAGATGCACAGTAGTTAGCTCATGAAGCAAAATGCATCATTACCATCATCCAGTTAGGGTTATCATGAAAACTGTCGGATCTAAATGCTGAAGAGTTCTTTTAACTGTTTCCATGGTGATACGAGGAGAGCAACATGGTGGTTTTCATCTCCATCCCATGTTCAGCTCAATTCTTCCACAGTTGTTTAACTGTGAATCGAAGGTACCGGCTTGTGCCAGGCTGGCTTTCCTTTGAGTTAGCCAGGGACAAATGAAGAATGTAGTGAACGCTTCCTTTCAAAATGAAATGTAAGCCCTAGATAAAACTGATCTGGCTTTCTGTGCTGTTTTGACTGGGTTGGCGCTCCTATATGTAAAATAGCTGTTCTGGAGTTACTGACCTGCTGCTATTCGTGCCGTTGTGTCACTGCTTGTAATTACTTTGGTGCAGGCTTTAATAAAGGGCATTCACTGCAATCACAAACCAGAAATCTGGTTACAGGAATAGGTTCACCTTAAAGTTTTATTTCCTCTATAAGGGGGAAAGTACAAACACTTCTCACTAGAAATTCAGATGCTGCTTTCTAATTTGGCCTCACTTTTAGTGCTTTCCCTTCATCATTGAGCCTGCCCTTGAGGTGTGTGTGTGTATGTATTTTTTAATCTGTGTGGTGTTGATCAGGTGCTGTGTTTTTAGTCTCACTCCTCTGTTTTCTGATATTCAAGAGCTTTAACTGACCTGCTGCAAGCTTGTTCTCTACGGCTGTCCCCCAGCCTCCTGCCCCAGAAAGCCTTTGAATTAATTCTTGCCTTGGGTACAAAGCAAAGGCACTGTTCTCTCCTTTCTGACCTACATTTGCACGGTGCAGCATTGCATAGCTCGCAGTGCAGCTTCCCTGCTTCCCTCCTCTCCCTGTGCTCCCCTTGAGTAGTGGCCAAGTCTTGCAGAGCAGAGCTGGACGTAGGAGGCTGGGTGGACAGGCTGGAGATGGAAGCTGTAGGGATACAGCAAATGCTGTATGTGATGGGTATGATCCCCAGCCTGGAATTAGTGGGGTCAGGATTGGTGAGACTGTGCCACCTGAATCACACGCTGCTTTGAAAGAGCAAACTAAGAAATGAAAAGGGGAGATGCATTTAAAATTTTATAGGTGCAGCTGTTGTAATGTAAAGAGCTTGTCCAGTAGTTCCTTGTATTCTTTGACAGCATAAAGTAAGGATTGAGAAATGAGTTGTAAAAATGGGAAAACAAAACAAAAAAAAAACGACCATGGAAATTGTTTTTAGCAAAATAGTTACAAGCCTGTTCTTGCTAATGGCATGAACAGAAGTAGTAGTAATTTCTGTGTTCTTCTCTCTCTTCCATCTCTTCCTGGGAAGTTGTCAAAAATTGCAATGAGCGTTCATTCAAGAGATAAGATGTTCTTGCAATGTGGGATGATGTAGATATTTTAGATTGAAGTATGACTGCGGATTGTGTTAATGTATTGGGAAATCAGGAGGGATGGGGAGCTGTCTAGAGTAATGGTGTCTAGGTTCTATGCTCATGCCATGCCTGATCTGGCATTGATTTTGAGACATTTTTAACCTGAAACCTAGTCTGCCTTATTTCTTTGAGATCACTGCAATCGTATAATTTTTAATTTGTAGGACAGAAATAACTTACAACCTTTAGATAAAGATCTTATCAGACACTTTTCCCCCCTCAAAGCAACCACTGAGGCTTGTAAGTACCTTTTACTAGTATTTCTTTCAGACTAGAACAGAACATGAACTTCATCCATGAAAAAATCTGTCAATGGCTGGGGATAGGAGCAGCCTTTGTACTCCAACAGCTGTAGTTGTTCACTTCACATGCTCAAACCTATTGATACAGGATCCCCAAATAACTGGGATCACTGGTACAACTGGAGATGTGAGAGGAGCAGTTCTGTTGGTAAATAGTAGTGTGAGGCTTTATTTTGGTTGTCTAGTATAAATCTTCACTCAGTTTAAAGTCAAATAAGGAAAAATTACTGGATTTCAGTTTTTGTTCCCCTGCTTACTTTGTCTAATATGTTTCTTTGCCACAATGATGGTGCTAATGACAAGGCACGTTTTCCTGTAATAAGTCATGTTTTTGCATTTGATCTGAAGCAGACATAGAAAGGGGGGGAAGGGGGGGACGACCACAAAACACATTTAAAGAGAAGATTGCACAAACTTCTATACCTTTTTGAGTAAACTAGTGTTACTGATTTTTTTTATTTTTTTTTTTTCACTTCATTGCAGAAATATTAGACCCAAACACAAACTTTTATCCTGTTGCAACTGACAGTGCATTTCTTGTCTTGCTTTCTGTCGGGTAGGAAGTGCCAGAACTTGCCAGAGGTTTTAATGATGGAAATGATTGCACTGTTTTGACATGAACTGTTGTTATGCTCTTCCAGAGTAAGCAAGTAGCTTCAACACAAACTATAATGTGGCAACAGCATTTGGAGAATGGAAGGTAGATCTTTAATTCTGTAGTTGCATGTTTTGCCATACAACCTCTCACTCCTGCTTCTGCAAGCTTCATAACAAACTGAAAGAAAACACTTGGATAAAAAAGATCTAAGTAGCCTTTGGCTGTCTTGATAGTGATTCAAATGTGTTGATAGAGTAGTTTCAAATCATACCCAAATATTAATACAATTTTTAAGAAGTGGGTTGAGCCCTTAAAAGGGCCTTATGAATGGGTTTTTATTTAACATCTTGTACTCCTCACTACTATTTTAACTAGGAAGAAGTTCAATGTGCTGAACTTGTAGGTATTCTAACTAATTCTGCCAAACTCAGGCAGATTGGCATCTTGCATGAACTCCGAAGTGAAGTACCCAAGAGGTTGTTTGGCTGCCAAACTTTATAATGAAAGTGCCAAACTATTTAATGTTCAGTTATTAACCTCCTGGATTAGACCCAGAAGCTAGTAACAACATTTCGAACTAGCCAAAGTTGGGAAGATCCAAGTAGAGTAAATAGCTTGAAAGTACTGAAGGCAGGGACTGGTGCTCAAGTCCTCACCAGGAAGGAAGGAGTCAGAAGAGAACTACAAATAGGTGGTAATGTTAAAGAGTGTTCCCAAACATTTCAAATGCAGCTTGTACTACCTACTGTGTTACATGAATGCCAGTAATCATCACCACAACTAAGTCAATACAATTTCAATTGAGTTGGAGAACGTTGTTCTGTTCTGCATAAATTTTACTATTTTCACACACTTGCTTTCCTCAGAAATGTCCATTTCTGTGGTTAAAGGTATGACAGTTTATTGGAGGACCACCCAAAAAATAGTGAAGAGCAAATTCCCTTACCCATCTTTAATAAGATCTCCTTTGAATTCCTTAGAGGACTAGACCAGTGCGATACAGTCTGCTTATGTGCCTAAGTTCCTGGATATAGACAGCCTTAGGGCTGCTGAGAGTGCTCCGTAAGATGATTCATCTTTTCATTACAAAGAAAAAAAAACCTGCTGTGTTCTCTGTATTGTGCATGCTATGAAAACTACACTTTAAGAATTAGGGAAAACTGGAAACGTCAGTTAATGCTGAAGCTAGCAATTTATTTCTTCCTGAGCAGCTTTACCATAAAAAGTGAAGGCTGAAGGACCATAAATATAATCACTTTTATTAAATAATAAAAGTACATCAAATATTTGTATTTTACCCAATTAAAAAGTACTGGTCAAACAGAAAACTAATCACAGTTCCATCATTTACTGCTTAATCAAATGCGGGTATTGCTTACCCTGGCACTGTGATAAATAGTAATAACCTGATTCTGATGCAATGCTTCTGTAACTTTGTTGGAAAATGAACTTTAAAAGTTCTGTTTGTTAGAAAACTTGGAAACCTGTAAATAGATTTAAGCTACTTCTTCAATCTTGTTTTCAGTGGCAGATGTAGCTTTAATTTTTAAAATTGCTTCCATTTTGTTCTCTCCTGTATTGCTATCTGGACACATCAATCTTATGACTTAGTCCTCCCCATCTATAAAGTGAAGTGTTTGGCTTAATTTCCTCTAGCAAACTGATTTTCACTTGACTGGTCTTTTTTTTTTGTGTGTGTGTCTAAAAGGCAGTAAAGAGGAAAATCAAAAAAAAATTTTGTAGGTTTTCTTCCTCTTATACAAAATAGAACGTCTTTGAGACTATAGTGAGATTTGAAGCTCCATTTTGCATATCTGATCAGCCTTTGAGCTATTGTGAAGTTATGTAAAGAAATTAATAGCAGATTGAGTGAATTTGCATGAAGATGCCAAAATGAGTGTTACTTGGCACCAGAATTTAGGAGCTTGCCCTATGACTTCTACAGAATTAAGCAACTTTGTCACCTCTTTCAGGGGGATGTAGTTGAAACTGGAGTTGAATCAAGAACACCAGTAACATTTCAGAGGGCGATGTACAAAGTGGTAGCCTGAACTTTGTTTTCATTTATCCTTCTTTTTCCTAATCCCTCCCAAAAAGCAACCATGCCAGAACTGGATGTACTTTAACAGAGTCCTTTTGCATTGTTTTAGTGTTCTTTTGGTAGTGTCCTAATTGTAACTGCGACACTGCTAAATATGTTGTACGTTAAAGAAGTGTATAATAATTTTCATGTGGTATTTGAAAGCAAAACTGATCTGCCCTTTGTGCATTTCCTTTGTTTCTCATTTTTCACTTTACTTATACCAATTCGAGATAACAACAAATCATTACACTGTAAAGGACTAGAGGTATGAATGCATTTTTAAATAAAATTTGTGTGGAAAATATGCTCAATTACATTTTATTGGCACAGAAGTCAGCAATTGGACCACCAAAGTGTGCATGCTTATTATTGCACATTAACACAAAAATCCTTATCTCATCTTTTTTCTTCAAATTTGCTGGGAAAACCTTTTGGTTATGGTTTCATAATATCAGTGTTATCAAGAACTATACTTTTTATTTTAAATTAAAAAAATAATTTTCAGACTCCACTATGTGAGATGGGGATCAACTAAAGGCTGTCCCGTGAAGCTCATCCATTTTTCACTGTACATGCGTTCAGCGGTATTTACAAATTGCACGTGGGATACATTTGCTAGAGGGAGTGCTGTCCTTCTAGTGCAGTTTACGGTGGCGATACCTGCCTGCTTTTTCTTTCGCTGCATTGGCACAGGCATTGTGCTTATTCTGTTGTAAGTGGTTCCAGTATTTGATCAGTTCACTAGGTTGGAACTGATGGGAGGTAATTAGGTGGCTATATTTACAGCTGGAGTAAGAAACTCGCCAGTGATTGAAGACAAACTCGTTGGGTGGAGGCATGGGGTCAATTCGCAGCTTGGCAAGGCAGATCCCCACGTATACATCCTCTAAATGTAAACGTCTGATGCCTAGGGAGACTTTGAAGATTTTTTCTGCTAAATCTCCAGAAAAAACATAACCAGTTCCAGAGCAGAATACAGGATAACGTTCGCTTGGATACAAATCAGGTGGCATGTACCACTTGCTGTCCTTGTTCCTGTTAGGTGCGTAACCTCTCATTAAATAACCTGTAAAATATTTGTGCCTTGGAGGAAGTTCTGGTTTCAGAAGCTTGTGTATTAAATACTCAGTATTGACAAACATATCACTGTCAGTTTTCATAACATACGGAACACTTGGACAATAAGATGCAACCCAGTTCATTCCCATCAGAGTTTTAATGGTTAAATTATAATAGGTGTCTAAATATTCTTGTTGAATGATGTCATGGTATTGTTTACTTTCCTCTAGTATGGTGCGCTGGAGGTATCCGTTTATCTTGATGCTTAGCCCCAGCAAAAAGATGCGAACAATTTGGATGCCAGGCGTCAGGCTTTCGTTACCCCAGGTTTGTCGAATCGCCTGTCTGGCTTCCACTTGGCCTGGCTCTGCAGCAATGAGCAAAATGAGAAAAGGGGTCTTCTCCTGGCATTTGTCAGGCTCGTTGATGATGTATTTGAAATGATAGGAAGCTGGATGCCCAGCGCCTTTCTCGTTGTAAATACTTCCATTGGCACTGAGCGTGTTTTCCAAACCGGTGACTCCTTGGGGTGACAGCTCGGTGTTGTTGGAGTTGGTGACTGTTTGAGGCCTGAGAGTCTGAGGTACGGCGTCCTTCCACACGTTCCGTAGAGAGCTGTGGTTCATCTCGCTCTTAGTAGACCTAAATCCTCGTATAGTGTAAGCCATGGGATTCTCTCTGAAAGCAGCCCTGCCCGGCAGCCAGTCGTGATGATTAAAAAACAGAAACACAGCAAAAAGAAATACAAGAGAGACCAGGCCAATGAGATGGGTGCGAAATAGAGACCTTTTGGTATTCCAGGTCATCTTTGCAAAGCAGCAGTGTCGTCTTCTCCACTGAAGCATGTTGTAAGAATCCAATGATGAGACAATGGCCAAGCAAAATGCTTTTCCCTTCTTTTCTGGATCCACTGCTATTCTTTGGTATTCATTTTCTTTTGCTTATGTTGAGTGATTCTCTGCAAATGGCTCACTCTGCAAAGGTTTAAACAAACAGAACATAAATTATTAATTTTACCTGCTCATAATATAAAAAGCTACAATGAGAAACTAGACATGAACCTATAATTTAGTCCTGTTTTTTTTTTGTTTGTTTGTTTTGGAAAAACAGCCCATGTTAGTATGAACAAGGTCAGATTCGTGATGAAAGACAACTTTTATCAAAAAACAAAGTTATTTGATTTGCTTGCTTATAATTCTTTTATGGTAAGAGTTGAGAATACCCCAAAGCAAACAAACAAAAACTAGAAAAAGTGGATCATGCTAGCTGAAGAAGTGTGAAGTAGACCTAAATAGCATCATGTATACTGACTGAAATCCTTGTATGGTGCTTGAGGAGGACTGAATGAAAAGGGCTTGATACCAGATGGAAGGTTTATTGGCATTAATTAAAATTGATTTGACATGCAGAGGCTCGTACGGTTCAGTTTAAAAACCCTTTTTGTAAAATGGTCATGTAGTGGTGGTGGGACAGACGGTGCAGGGCTGATTATGGCAGAGCTGTGTTAGTCACAGTACACTGCTTGGCGTGTTTCCACCGGCCCCGACTGTGCTCAGAAAGTCAATGAGAAGGTGCACCTGTCAAAATTAATTTTCAGGGTCCAGTAACCTCACTGCACAGCCCTTAGATGGTAACACATGATAACGGCTTTGGTCACCTTTCAAGCACCTTTAACCTTCTGCTCCACAAGGAAGGAAAAGCTTCAACTCCTGGCTGGTGTACCAGGCTTGTGTGCAGCTGATTTACAGTCAAGCTGTTGATTTTTAGTGGGCAGAGATCTTAAGTAAATGCTCATATTAACAAGAAGTAAAACTGCACGGCTCTAAGTTACTTTCTGGCAAACTATCTGATGAACGTGACTCTTTTCCCTCTGTGGATCTAAATGTAACTGCTGTACTTCAGTTATCATGCAGAAATGTGAAGTATTGCTAATAGCAGCTGTAACTGTAGGAAAAAGTGCCAAAGTAGTCTGTGCTTCATTTTCTCCTAAATTTTTTTCATATTCAAGAGCAGAGTCAATATGGCAGCTTCATGATGCTGCATATTAAAAGCTGATCACATCATCTTGTAAATGAACCTTTCGCTGCACAGTAGCAATTCGTTTGCGATTTTCAATTTGCTCTAATTTATTTCTGGGCCCTAGGGTTTTGTATAGGAAAAAGGATGACAGTTGAATAAGGGTCCCACAGAAAACGCTATTTTTAATATAAATGTGTAATTTATTAATTACTTTGCTATCTTCTAAAACCAATATTTGGATTAATTTCTGCATTTAAAAGCTAAGTGACATGTTATATGGGGAAATTACAGGATTTTACGCTGTAAGGAAGTAATTTAAGAAGAGATGGCAGTTGAATAATATATTATTATGTGTGACTGTAACGTTCAGCCTGCCTAGTTAATGTAAGGGGAAAAGATGAGATTTCAAAAAGGATAAGGAGAGACATATAACTAAGCTTTATTTTAATTACTGTGTCAGTTGATATATAAACAGAGTAATGTATATGCAGAAGACATCACTCACAATATTTGGAAGCAAGGGGAAGTATTGCACTGAGTTGAAACTGTAGTTTGTCTGTCTTATTAACCTCCACCAGGAGGAGCAAGTAAGCGGGGATTTTAGCTGTGGTTTGTAATGATAAATGTATCTAAAAAGACAAAACTGCCCCTTACTTCTTTCTGAAATGGCAAAATATTTGCCTGGTGATATGTTAAGCTCTTCCCTGTTGTTGTTGCATCATGTTCATGAGTTTTGTTTTCAAGCTTACTGAAAGCATTTCTCTTTTATTATTATTTTTTAACTGCTTGGGACTGATGCTATGTAGCAGAAACTGAGCTATCTAAAAATTATTTTCCACTCCACAGATGTTAAACCTGTCTCAAAAATATGCTGCTTGAGAATCAGCCTGAAATTTCATGCTGTTCTTCTTAATGCTGCTTAGCTCAGAAATTATACCTTAGGGTAAAAAGGAACTAAGCCCCTGACATGGAAGATATATGCTTACCTGTGCATTTACACCTTCTTTTGCATGCTTAGAGAATGAAAGCCTGCTCTCCAAACATAATTTTAAAAAACATAGTTTTTAGTTTCACTGTGGTGTGCAGTGAGTTTTAAATGAAAACGCAGCCTTTTGGGATGGATATCTCTGTATGAGCAAACACAAATGTCACTTCAAAGGGTATCCTAGAGCTCAGGGAAAATAATTGTTCGATACCAGCTTGGAGGGCAACTGTGGGAATGCTTGATGAATTATCAGTCCATTTCATGTGCATGCTGTTTAGGAAGAAGTCAAAACAAGAATTGCATGAAGAGCTGAATGCAGAGTAGCAGCTGTAATTTGGATTAACTTTGCCACACTGAATTATTCCACTTCTAAAACTTCAGTCGTTAGATGCAAATACTTAGCAAATCTGTATCACATTACTAATCTGTATTTAATTTTTAGTTAAGGTGGTAGGCTTTTTTAGTGCTCCTACTTCACACGAGAATGAGTAAAAGGGAGAATGTGGTTATATGTTACTTGTGTGAACTTAAAATTGCTGCCTTTCCATGATGCACAGAGAAATGGGGTTAGAGTGGGTGAACACCCCCCTCCTATTTTTGTCTGCATCTTCACATTGTGCATATTAGATTTCTTATGATTTTCATATCATCTACCATTAAAAGCTTATTTTCAGAGAGGTTCTTTCTCCCTTAACATGTTTCCTTGATTTTTTTTCAAGGTGGGAATTTCCTAGAAAACCTTCAGTCCCTGTTTGCCCTTTAAAAAGGCCTTGTATGGATGAAGGAAGGACCCACACCTGTTTCTTAGCATCATAAAACTATTGACTGAAGGGAAAAAAACACACAAACCACCACAAACAACAACTTTGTGCTTTGGTTTCGTTGTAATTCAGGTGTGAAACATTACAGTGGGCATTTGAAATCCAGCAATAGCAATTGCTCCACTGAAAAAATATGTGCTGGGATGCGTTTAATAAAAGTAGAGAGCTGTCAGTATGTATTAAAAACAGCATCAAACAGTGTCATGAGAAAAACCATTATTTTCTCTCAGTTTAATTAGGGTTAAAGCACTACTGCATTTGCCTGATTAAAATTTCATTTCACAGAAAGCTTAAGGACAGGCACCAACCATGGGCAGTAGGTAAAAACAAAAAGCAAATAACCAGCTATAACCTAAGGTCTCCATACAGGCACCTTGTTTTCTGAAAGTATCTTGCTGCACGTAAGTGCATTTCGAAACTCTGACTTAGAAGAGTTCTTCCTTTTGGGCACTTGGTTGTGCGGTCCCTGCTCTGTTGTCAGATGCCGGGTGTGTGCACTGTGAATGCCTCCTCGATTTTGGTTTGTGGTCTGTGCTCTGACAGTGCTTCAGCTCCTTGTACTTTCAGCCCTGCTCTATAATTGCAGCTTTGCAGACTGAAGGATTCATCTCCCTGTTTACACGCCCTGGGTTTTCATATTTTGATTAGCTGTGGGCAGATTGTTTAATTAGAAGAGTTCAGAAGGCAGCCTGAGCCGCTCTTCTGACAAACAGCAGCAGTTGCATATTAGGCCTCACGTACCGTGCCTGAGTTCACTTACAAACTGCATTAATGTTTTGCACAGCACAGGCAGTGCTCAAGGTGAGGTCTGATGCTCAGGCTTTAAAATGTCAGATAGGAGAGGGGCACCGCCAGCTAGGCGTGCTTCTGCAGAAGTACTGCCTGAGGGCAGAATTTGGGGTTTGTTTTAAAAGTCCTGGGAAGTGGCTTTAAAAGTGATCTGAAATGGGTGACTGTGAGATGCATCCCTAGGTCTGGGAGCTCTTTCCAGTCACGGTTGCTTCTCTGCATGTTAGCATTGCCTTGGATAAAGAAAGCACATTTATGTTGCCGATGTGGGGATTTATGGCAGCTCACTGGCAGATCCTGCAGATAAGCACTTTCATTTTGTGGTGCCTAAATCACTATAGATTTGGGTCTTAAATTTCTATTGTAAATAGTAACCTGTCTTCTTGCTTGCTTGCCACATTTGATGAAGTATTTAAATTTAAACAACAAGCAGAAATGAATGACAATTAGTTTGAGTGCCATTTTACAACCCAAGTTAAACAGGCAGTGTTTTCCTATTAAGCAATGATGGCATGAGGTAATTTACGTGCTCACCATTTTGAATGTGTAGCGTTTGAAGGTTTCCTTTTGGGATCTCAGTGGAGCCTGATGTTACTTGTAAAATGTGGTGCCTGATCGTGCTGCTGATGGTTTAAATCATGTCCGGTCTTTTGCACGCTCCCAATTTATGCTTGGCCGATATTAGTCTGATGACATTTTGCTGTGTTTCAGGGGCAAAAAAAGAGGAAAGCAAGTGTGAAAAAGGTCTGAAGGCACTTTTTAGATAATGTAATTTGACTGCACGGTCTGTTTTGATGGTTCAGTGCTCTCAGTGTATGTCACATCATGGCCATTTTACCAGTGCTTTAAGATTACTTCAGATAAGGATTAATTCTGACCTAGTTTCCGAGGATTTCTAACTGTTTTTTCTAGATTGGAGGCTTTTGAGTTTTTAATTTCTCAGTTAAATGCAATCATTACAGTAGCTACATTATCCCTTTAATCCCTCCTGTGCCCACACCAACCTTGTGCAGGCTGTAAGCAGTGTATTAAACGAGTCTGAGATAGTGACATTGTTCGGGGTGGTGAAAGGAAAACCTGCTGGAATTTTTCCCCTGTTTAGAGACACTGTTCGTTATCTCTCCCGGGCTCTGCAAATTAGGAATGATCATTATCTGCAATGGCTGAAAAGGTAACAGACAATTGAATGAATATCACACACAAGGATTTGACATACCTTCCTTGGTCAGGCCATTTATGGTGCGAGGATTATACCCCCAGAAAATAGTTTTGGCACGCCATCACTTCAGCAAAAAAGATGCTATCGAACATGCGCACATCCCCCAGCAGTCTGCTTCCTGCGATCGCTTTTCACGGTATCCAATCTGTCCATCTGTCTGCCCGTTGCCGCGTTACCTTCCCTGCTCATAAGTGTTGTCCTTGTCTTGGGGCTTTTTGTTCATTGTTCGAACAAAAGGACAGTAGTTCCCGTTCCTGTTCCGATCGGGCTCGTCTGGCGTTCGCAGCCGATGTCTTGGAGCTTTTACATCTGGTGTTTCCCTTGCCGGACAATGCAGTGCTGTGTTCCCTTCTCCTCAGTATCCATATTTCTAATGGTAACGTTAGCTGTGAGTGCTAGCACGTAGTGGCTCACTTGCCTTCGGTAATAGGATTTGCCTCTCTTCCCTCCTTCATTGTTGCTAGGCAGTAGTAGAAATGGGTTCGAGCTGTTTGAGGCGAGGATTGTGGTCTCTGAAATCCATTCCGTAGTTCTTCAGCTGCTGCACAGGCAGGCAGCAGTTTAAATGTGGGCTTTGACAGATGCTGTCTTCTGACAGAGCAGAATTTAACGTCATTGCTTGGCTGAATCCCACGTGATTGTTTGCATTCATTTTGACTAAATCCAAAGGCAGCCAGAAACCTTTACAGGCTCTTGCTCCTGTGTGATAAATGATACATATTCAGTACGAGCACAATGATAGGTGAAGAGTATAAAAATTGTATGATTATTAAATGGATGATTGAAGGTTTTTTCAAATTGTTTTCACTTTTCCTTGACACTGTAACTTATGATTCTCTGGGGGATTTTTAATGCGAGACATTCTATTTCCGTTTTCCAAAAGCTGTTCTGCACTGCAAAGGAATTATAAGTACTTAAACACAAAGCTTCATTTAACCCATTTGGTGCTCCTAGTACAAATTTTTTGTGCCTACATGATGACAAGAGGAGGTGTTTCTTTGCTCATGCTTCCTTTACACATGCTTCACATGCTTCCCCTTTGAAAGCTTTTTGTAATCTTAGGTTAGTCAATTAAGCTGGATGGCACTAATGTATAAACACGTGCTGTTAAGCTGCCTTTTTGCTGTTAATGGCTTTCTTCCTTGGTAAAGGTCGAAGTCTGCTATTGCAGGACTGGGGGCACTTGATTTCAATTATTGATGGATGTAAAATGACTTGGTTACAGACATACCTATATTACAGAATTTGTCTTTCTGGTCCCAGTGAAACTTGTGTGCCTTTCATTTCTCTTCTTTCAGTGACTGGCCATGCTATGTTGAAGCACCTTATTATATTTACTATATGCTACAAATAAAATTTCTCAGTAGGGAATTCTGAAAATAGAATACTAGCAGCATACTTACCAAAACATTCACTGGTCAGTGCATTTGTCCATTCTGTTTTTTTTTTTTTTTTTTTTTAAAGCTGAAGATTTCAGTGACTTGGACTTTTTTTTTTTTTTGGCTAAAGGATAAGCAAGCATAATTGGTCTGTCATATGGATTGGGGAGGTGCTGCCTTCACTGGCAAATAAGGCTTCCCCAGGCAGTCACTGTGTTTTACTACCCTAGATGCATATTCTGCTAACTTCCTAGAAACACGATCAGATTGATAAATCATCTATGCATACTAAATTTCTCTAACTTTGCCTTTAGCAGATCTTCACTCATCTTGTGGAAAACTAAGGAAAAGCCCCCACCCTCCCCCGCTACTTTGCATTTGTGCACGTGACTGTACCTTTAGGGAGTCAAAGTTTCAGGAAAAAAAAAAAGTTATTTTTATCTAACTGCCTTCTTTAGCACTTTTGTATGATACTGCAGGTTCCTGGATATTTCAGGAGGGTGGAGCTTGCTTCGCTCTGGAAGTATGACCTGAAGATTTAAGTAACCTTGTTGTGGTTGTAGGTTGGAATAAGCTTTATTTTGGCTAAATCTCACCATGAAGGGTCAGTGGACTGCTTGTTCTTGATCCAAGGAGTAGTATGTTCCGTAATGTTACTATGGTTACATCTTAAATTAGAAGCTGCAGTCTTAGCCTTTGAGATGCTTCCATCTCTGAAAGCTGGGAAGGAGTTGTACCGATGTGAGGATGTGCCATGTGTACGTAAGGAACGCTAGAGAGATACCGTGGCCAGTGCAAGGGTGACTGTGCAGCAAGTTCTGCAAAATTAGAAACAGATGCAAGGGGTCAGATAAGATGCTTAGAATAACTTAGGCACAAGACAACTGTGAACCAGGCAGCATGTATCTGTGCAAAACAAAGGTGTGTAGCCCTGGAATGTTTTCTTCCAAAAACTTTAAAATTTTCCTTTGTGTAATTTTTTTGTAGGGTATCAGTCAAACCTTGTCAAAGTACTTCGAAGATAAATTAGACCCTAAGGGTGAGCCATTTAAATCAAGTTCTCTCTTGACAACAGTAACAGAAGTTTCTCAAATGAATGTACAGTGGTTGCAATAGTCAGGTGTACTGCTTAGGAAGAAAGATAATTTTCTGCCTGGTGGCCACGAGTCCCCTGGAAGCTAAACTAAATACATACATCACAGCTGACATGTAAACCCAATGTTCCCATATGGGCCATGCTTTTTGAGCACTCCATGAATACTCTGCAAAGATTATTCCATTTTTATCAGAGTGAATTGCAGTATTATTTCAGTTGTAATGTATTTAAAGCCTTTCAAGTGACAATTCAAAATGATTAATGGCAAGACTTCCAGAAGTAGTTATCTTCACTTTAAAACTTCTATTTTTCTTTTCAAATGTGTTCATACATGATATTAGAATGCTTAGTTCAAACTTTGTTAAGGGTTGTTATGTGTATGGCCAGTGCCCATTTGTCTCTGCTTCAAAAAGAATACATTTCCAGTATGGCATTTAGATTAGAGAGGACAGGGTTATAGAATACTTGTAATGCGAGTGGCTATTTTGTGATCCCAGTGTGTTCCTGAACTATCACGAGGATATTTGGAACTGAATGAAAAATAGCAATCTAGAAATGACCACAAGTGTCAGTATCGCCTGCCTTATTTTCCTTAGCAAAATTTCAGTATTTCTTATTTAATTGTGAAACCCGTCTTACACTTGCTGCATTTTTATAAATGGTTGAGATTTTGCACTCGGTTGAAATGATGGCTTAGCCATAAATTTAGCGATTCCACTAATCTTTGAATGTTTTGCATTTAACACACAAATACAGCAATAGAGATCAATCTGAGATGACAGAACACGAGAAAAGGTTTCCAGTAACTGTGAAATGTGTGTATTTTTATGTTCCCTAATGAGCAGTTTATAATTGTTCTATCACTCAATAAAGGATTTAAGCACATCCCTGAATTTAGCGAAGTTGTTAGAGAGAGAAAAGACCAGATGATCTCTTAAAGTCTGGAGGGCTTATTCCATTGGCCCAATGAAAAATTTCAAGGGTATTTTTCATAATTCTGAAGCTCTTAATGTTTTTTATTAAGCGAATAGATATTCTAGCTCTCCAAGAAGAATTCAGTCCTGGGAGTTCATACAGTTCCTTGTGAAGAGCACAGGTCAGGAGTGCTTCTAAAATGCAACGGATCAGCCAAAATGCAGCTGCTTTCAGTCCACTTTCCTGTTCTGTTTTTGCATTATATGCAAATGTTGTGTATTGGACTACTGTCCAGAAACATTTCTTTCCTCAATAATGTGTTGTTTTGTCTCTATCACATTTTCTCTCCTTCCAGTGTTCTGATTTTTCTTGTCTTTCCCCCAGGCTTTGCATCCAATTATTGCTGATCTTAAGTGCTAAATGAGGATTTTCTTTCCAGGGGATGGACAACATAATTTCATTTATATTGTGCAGCATTTTTGGATGTGCAGCCTCTCCCCTGATGAAGTGACATGCCAGTGCCAGTGGTAGTGTTTTCTGCCTGTCACAAGTGTTCCTTTTGCATTCTGAAAAGAGCGTGGACTTTATGAAGCTTTGATTCAGCACAGCGGGAGAGAAGGCCAATGAGCAGAAGTACCAAACGTTCAGAGGCAGTTTAAAGAACTGTGGAAAATAAACTTACGTTTTCCCCTTACCTTATGACCTTTTTCATTCCAGCTGCCTGCACTATAAGATCAACTTGCCCCTAGCATCCCCCCACACTTTCCCAGCATGAGAATTTGAAATGAAAAGCGAAAATGTTGTAGGAACTGAGACTTTGCTGAAGACCTGGTACTTTATATCAAACTTCTTTCAAGACAGGAATGTGGCATCCTGGTGAAGTTAACAGGTCACCACCTCTTAGGCCTAAGGAGAAAAATGCATTGTTCTAGCTTTGACAGCCTGCCTCTTACCACCTGCCCTACCCCTTCCTTCTGCCCAATCTGTTCCCCAAAAAAGTGCAGAAAACCCTTTTCTCCTTTAGGCTGTCTTCTGGCCTTTGAAGCGTCCCAGGGATTTGAAGAGTCCTGGCCCCTCAGGTTCACTGCCCGGACGCAGAGCTCCTGCTGGAGCTGCTGGACGAGCTGTGTCCATTCTCTGAGATTGAGAGAACTGCAGCTCTGATGTTTGTTTGGCCATCTATACGGTTGGAAGATACATACTCAATGTACTTATTGAATATGGGGGCATTTCATCAGCCTCAAAAACTCCTGGTTCTGTGTGTTAAGTTGCCATTGGCGATGCAGCTCTTCACTTCATGTTAAATAATGTGGAATTGAGCAGCTGAACTTTCAGACCTGTCAGAATTTCACCGATCTGGAGACAGAGACTTGTATTGACTCTTTCAACGTGTTACATTTCCTCAGTAGCTTGAGTACATTAATTTCTACAGCTCCATTCTGTAGGTACCCACATTTACAACTGATTTTGTGGGATATACAGGGTTTACAGTAAAAACCACAAAGGTTTAGTAAGTGTCTTAAATGCCTGAAGCCTTTTCTTCTAGCACAGATGCTTAGACTGGGAAAAGCAACAAAATCTGTGGGAGAAATCTGTTCTCCAGTGATCTGAATGGTGTTATCCCAGTAATAAATTTAAATAGTATTAAATAGTTCATATTCAATGTAAAACTTGAATCTTAACTTGGAAAATAATTCCCTTTTTAAGAGCAGTTAGCTACTATGCTCTTGGACACGTTGGGGAAACTAGAATTACTCCCAGTACCCTGCATACCAACTGCTTTGATAGGTTTACTTTGGCTTGGCCAGTCAGATTAGTGTCTGTTTTTTCCCCAAAGTTGTTCCATGTTAATGATACCCTCAACTTAGTGGTTTCCAGTCAGTGTATATTAATGAATAAATCACCTTAATATGTTTAATATGTTTTATCATGTATTGTACTTAAATTAATTAAAGTGATTGACTGTTATTTCAAAGTAACGTGTTCTTGGGGGGAAATTTATTTGGGAGTATTCATTTTTATATGTTTCTAGTGAGCAAAGAAATCAAGCTACTGTACGAAATGACTTCCAATGTCCGTAGTTGCTGATCTGTCCCACAGACTTCATCTTTCTGCTTCTGAAATTCACTTTACGTTTCAATGACAGCATTCCTTTAGTTACTTCCGAGGAAATGGAGACTATACCGTGGAAAACATTCTTTTTGTCTGGTA